AGCCACCACACCATCAACACCTCCAGCTCTTCCAGTTCCATCAACCTCTGGTAATTAAAAAACTTACATTACTCCAATTTCATGGTAATTTTTAATCAGCTTTGAAAATATTTTTACAATTTTTTTTTCTACAATGTTGAAGCATTCTCAACACAACTTCAAATAAGTGCTTACTGCAGTTCATGAATAATCTAGTAATGTCCATACTTTCTTTGCAGACATTGTTTTGGCGAGTTGCTACTGGTGATAACATTTCTGAAGACCTGCAGCTTCTCACAACACTGACTTAACCACACAGCATGGAGAATATTTTCAACCTATAAGATTCGATAAATTTAGGAGCATTAATTAAAATGTAATAAACAGTCTCTTTATCACAGCAAAGAAATTTTCAAGGAACACAAACAGAAAAGGACCCCAATGGAAATAAGTCACTGTCTGACTTTTTTGGGTTATCCTAGGTTCTCTACACATATGCTGCTATGTATGATAATTCTATAACTGTATTGCTGTATAGCCCTTGTGGCTTTGCGCTTCTTTTTTGATTCATTAATAATATAACTATTTGTGTATACCTGAATAAACTTACTTAACTGAAACAAGCCTCAACTGCTGTATGTCAGCAGGACAACATTCACACAATTCGGGAGCTCGAAGCTCGGGGAAAAAAAAAAAATATACCAACCCCAACCCTACTAACAATAGTAGTAACGAAGCAGACAGCCTCAATACTACGCCATTATTAGTAAGCTTGAGTAATATACATTTTAAATTCATAGCTTCCGACAGTCAAGTTTGGCGACACTGGCAGTGGACAATCATTCAAACTGAAAAAATAGTGAAAACACTTCCCGCGTGCAAAAACAGGTTTCTAACACAGCTATTAGAACACTAAGACAAGAACAGATCACCTCTTTGTTTGACGAGGAATGATTCTGCGGTCCAATTAAGACAAGTTGGAGGTTTAACAACCTAGTTCCCCCCCTCCCAAAAGCTACTCTAATATCCCTCTAATGTAAGAGGGCACTACTCTCCGCTGACTTAATAAATCAGGTTTTAAATCAATCTACCTGTCCCCCGAGTTTACCGTCCCCCCCCCCCCCATTCAAACAATTTTACATTACGTGCACATTTACCCAAATAAAATTTCCCATAATTATCTATATTTCCCCAAGGTGTGTGTAACCCCTATGGATATGTTAGGCAACCAGGTTTGATCCAAGGAAGGAGGGGGTACTTACAAGCAGTTGCATCAAGATGAAGACCTTCATTAGTACAAAGACACCCCTTGAAGGGATTCCAAATTTAACATTAAGACAGTATACTATGTTGGTAGAATTACCGACAATATGTAAAGTAGAAGGACAAGTGCAACATTTTATTATGGCAACGCTTCGCTCTTCAGCAGCTTTGTCAAGCCGTAACGGCCTGACAGCTCACGAAGAGCGAAACGTTGCCACAATAAAATGTCACATTAGTTGCACTAGTGCCCTTACATGAAAAGTAATAGTAGTTAGGATCATTAAGACATGGTATTTCCCCTACACTTCCATGTCTCTCATAGCATACTAGGCTAACAACTCACACTGAGTTATCTAACCAGTTGGAGGCCCGCCGTATACCAGTTTCCTAACACACTACTATGCTAGCCTGAATTCATAACCTACCTTACCTGCCAGTTATGGCTGGCATCCTAGGCACAACCTGAGGACCACTACATTCAAGCCCCCACACACTAGCTCTATTTTTCTGGGTTTCTAACCCAACAAGGCTAATAATCCTATTCTCATTAATACCAATCTAAATCACCCCCCCCAACTATACTCACCAGCATCAGATGTTAGTGAATCCTTTCTGCCGACTAACACTTCACTTTAGATCACAGAGGTTTTCATTATTTTCATCATTAACGTCTGCTGCCAGAAGCGTTAGACTTCACTACTTACAGACTATCAAACCAACTGCAATTCTGACCCCTAATACTTTTATATCCACAGGAACCTAAACGCCTCATTTTCCGAAATAATGAAATTGTGTAAACTCAATGAATATTTAACTTTGCAGTTTGGCCAAAGGCATAAAATACGTAGAACACCCACCGCAACCACTACCCAAAGCCCGAAACCCACCAACATCCCCACAGAAACCACATGCAATAACAGATTGCACACAGCTTCTGAAGGTCGTTGGTGGGTTCCAAGGCCCACAGTTCTACGTAATCTATGCCTTCGGGGGAGATTACTCTCCCCTGCTATATGCATTCATAATGCATATAGCAGTTTCTCCAGTTCTATTCTTAACCTAACTACCTAAATATATAAAACTACTCAATACACTCTTGGAAACCAACAATGGAGAAGCAATTCGAGAATCTTTTGGTTACTCTTGGACGAGTATCAAGTCAAAGGGTCAAAAAAGTATAATAGACCACAAGACAGGTCGCAAAAACCATGGAGGGGGAAAGGGGTGAAATTTCAAAGGACGTCAGGCGCCCAAGTTTCAAAAAACAGTATTAGTGGTATAGATAGTAGCAGTAAAAGCAGTAGTAATAACAGTAGTATAGGTAGCAGTGGTAAGATCTGCGGTAATACAAATGATGGTAGTGATAATGCTAATGGTGGTAGTATTAGTAGTGGCAATAATAGAAGTGCTGGTAGTCAGTCTAGCAATAAGTCCTGGTAGTAGTAGTAACAATATTCGTAGCTGAAATAGTATCAGCACAAAAGAGCAGTTGGGAAATTGCGAAAAGTTAACCTTCAATAATAAAGTTCAACAGGAGTCTACAAGAGACAAAAAGAAACTCCAATATTCCTGTTGGGCAATGCTAGGCAAGAAATTAGAAGTAAATAAAAAGTCTGGCTAAGATACTGACCATCTTTTATCAACGTTGGAGGATAGAGCTCAAAATTAACTCTCCAATTTAATCTCCAAGACTGCTGTCACCTCTGTAGTCTACAGATAAAGCCTACTCCCCAAGCGAAACATTTCATGAATAATGATACCTGTCACAATGTCTCTTACCAACTTGGTATTATACACCATTTATAATGTGAAAACATAACAGAAGTTAAGAGAAACCTGGTTCAGGAAAAAAGGTATCAACACTAAGGCCAAGTGCAGTCGAAAGTGGTCTCACAACCACCCAGGTTATACCGAAACCTCTAAAGTTTCCCCCACAAGTGTCAGTTTTGTGAACTTGGTGTAAAAGAGAAATTAGACTGGCCAAAGGCATAAAATACGTAGAACACCCACCACAACCACTACCCAAAGCCCGAAACCCACCAGCATCCCCACAGAAACCACGTGCAATAACAGATTGCACACAGCTTCTGAAGGTCGTTGGTGGGTTCCAAGGCCCACAGTTCTACGTAATCTATGCCTTCGGGGGAGATTACTCTCCCCTGCTATATGCATTCATAATGCATATAGCAGATTCTCCATTTCTATACCTTACCTATCCTACTTACCACCACCTAATTCTCTAAGTTATTACAATAGAAACTAAATAATTGTAGACTTATAGTGTTACATATATACACCACAATTATGCAGCATACTCCGGGTATAGGCCTTACTAATTTGCAGAGCAGTGGCGGCGCAAGGGGTGAAGAGTCTAGGTAAGATCAACCAAGTCTGTAAATATATACTGTATAACCCAGTTTCAAAAATGCTTCCCCCCCCCAAGACGCTCTAATACATACTCGAGTCGTACGCGCTAAACCCACAAGGGACTTCAAAGCATAAAATTACTTGGCCAGGTTCTTTACAACCCTACTGAAAATAGGAAGATGTGGTTAATTCCACATTTCTGAGAAAGTGGTACTGATTTTTCCGGCTATATTATATTCTGCCTAAGGAAAATTTATCCTGTCATGTTAAGCTAAAACTTTGGCTTTGTAGTTTTAAAAATAGGTTAGACAAACGAGTGGTTGACAGTTGGACCTGCCTAACATGGGCCAATAGGCCTGCTTCAGTGCTCATTGTCTTAATAATGGATATGCCTGATTTAAAAGGCTTTCATTACACCCGGCATAAAGACCTCTACCATTACCCTCATCACATTAAACTTCTCAGTATAATTAACCCGGAAGATTAACACAGAATTACACACGAAAATCACTCACTACGAAAGCAAAAGACTCGGCAGACGATGCAACATCCCCCCAGTGAAAAGCAGGGGTGTCAATAGCACGTTAAGAGAACACAGTAAGTGTCAGGGGCCCAAGATTGTTCAACTGCCTCCCAGCATACATAAGGGGGATTGCCAACAGACCCCTGGCTGTCTTCGAGCAGGCAATGGACAAGCACCTAAAGTAGGTACCTGACCAGCCGGACTGTGGCTCGTACGTTGGATTGCGTGCAGCCAGCAGTAACAGCCTGGTTAATCAGGCTCTGATCCACCATGAGGCCTGGTCACAGACCAAGCCGCGGGAGTGTTGACCCCCGGAACTCTCTCCAGGTAAACTCCAGGTATTTATACTCCCCAGGATGCGACCCCTACCAGTAGGCCTGCCAGGGCCAGTAGGCATGCTTCAGTGTTCCTTTATGTGAACAGTGCCAATGGATATAAGGGAACATGCCCACTTGTGCCTGGGATCGAATCCCGGTTCTTCAGTTGACGTGGGCCACTACCGAGCCATGATATATCACACATTTCATGCTTTCCACAATCTTGCAGGATGGATATAGACTACATAATAAAGATATATTACACTAACCAGATTTAAAGAAGCTTTAACCAGTCTTCAATTCTAAGCTTTAAAACCCATTTCTCCAATTTTTATTTCCACCCAGTTCAAGGTAACCTATGGATACATTCCTCATTATTTCCTGGCCAAAGATTTCATCTCTGGTCGGGAGATAAGCTAATACTTCCCACTAAGCTACTTTTGATATCAATTGTTTACAATCTTTCCTATACTCTCCCCACCACCTTCCCACCTAATACAATTACTGTCTCCTTCAATAACCACTTTAGTGAACTTATAACCTGGAAATACCTTATAAGTGGGTCCTGCCCACCTCTAACGACGTCTCCAACTGCTGCATCTCCATATAACACTAAATGTTGTGAGTCATCATTTACTAGTAGTTGTCTCCACCCCTCAGACTGGTCAAAGTTGCTGTGTTGATCAATGTTGCAGCAGACATAGCCAGACACTTCACTCCTCAGTTACTACACCTGAAACAAAACACATTGGCATTATAACTATGAACATTACACACATTTATAGCCAAACATTACCATGTAATATAAACTAGTAACATTACTGCCTGACATACACCCATTAATGTTTAACATAGTAAGTACAGATATCATTTTCTTTAATAAATATTTCTTTCACATAAGCCTGATGACTAACAATTTGTTTACATGGAAATTATCTGGATCACAACGCGCAAGTTCCTTGGATCAAGAGACCTTCACTAAGTTATTTTCCAATATTGAAAAAAATAGCCCAGAACTGGATACACCATTATAGGCTATATAACGCCTAGTGTGGGAGTTATTGTTTGATCAGAGGAAGGGGAGTAGCTCCAGTTCCTCGTATCAAAACCCCTTCACTAAGGTCAATCCTCCCCTCCAAGACATTAGACCCCAAAGAAAATTAAGACTATTAAAATATTTTTAATTTGGTGACCAAACTGGTGGTGGGGACCAGGAGCTGCAGCTCAACTCTACTGTCAAATACATCACCAGACAATACTTACCTTATTTAGGTGTAATAAAAGGACGAGGAAGCGGTAAAGCCGGCGGAACAGTAGGAGGAAGAGCGACATGTACCTTCTGTACGACCACTGAAGTTCAACTGATTTTTAGTGACCTTGTGCTTAGTCACTGTCCTGAGCTTCACTATAACATCATCACTGATAACTGACAAACTCTGACTACCACCACTAGATGGCACTACTACACCTTCACTATCTGTACTACTCATGGTGGAGCGCTCAACCCGTAGGGGTCATGGACCACCTGGGAGGATAAGTTCACTCCAGGTGGCATACCTGGAGTTTACCTGGAGAGAGTTCCGGGGGTCAACGCCCCCGCGGCCCGGTCTGTGACCAGGCCTCCTTAGATCCATAGATCACATTCCTTGGATGTGATCTACGCCACCACCACCACCTTCAAGGAACCTCTCTCTAGGCCACCACTCTCACCACCAGAGGCGCTCAACTCCACTACTTTTAGTTACTTTATTATTTTTATTATCCGTTCCATAAAAACAGGAACAACAGGTTCCCATTGTGCACAGAAATAAAAAACAGGAATTCCTTTAAAACACAGAAACGGTAACAAAAAGTTGTCAGTTACGTCTAGTGGATCCCAGGGCAAAACCTTAGCAATCACGGTATTGTGCCTTTTTATTCCCTAGTAGAACATATTCTGTGCCTTTTTTTTTTCCCTAGTAGAAATATTAAATCACTGAGTCAGTGACCCGGCTTTTGCTAAGGCCAGAGACACCGAAATTTCCAAGCATGCTAGTCGCTTTTCTTTGCATTAACAATATTTATATTTAAATCAACATTGTAAACTTGTAAAGAAATAAATTTTGAATTTGAATTTTGAATACTCAGCTGAGTCATGACCCCGTTTATGCAGGCCGTGAAATCTCGACCATACACTGGGGCCTGGGGCTCTGGTGCCTGGTGTTAACGCTCTCGCTTCACAAAGGCGAGGGCCTGGGTCGATTCCCAGCCAAGTAGAAAACATTGGGCGTGTTTCTTTCCACCTGTTGTCTATGTTCCCCATCAGTAAAATGGGCACCTGGGTGTTAGTCGACTGGTGTGGGTCGCATCCTGGGAGACTGACTTAATTTGCCCGAGATGCTCAGCATAACAAGTGGCTTTCTATGTAGTAGTATGTCATTGTTGTCAGCTAGGACTGTATACCATGTACATGTACTTGTAGTAAATAAAGATTATTATTATTATTAACTGAGTCAGTGACCGGCTTCTGCTAAGTCGCAGACAAGTGTCCCAGGGTGTTAGCTGTGTCGCCTGAGTGCCTCATTCATTCTTCACCCACAACTAGTAAGTTATTCGGCGATACACAAATACGAGGTTCAGATATCCAGTACACAGCAGCAAAAGTCAGGAGAACCTAGGATAACCTCATCCTATGAGCTGAAGAAAACAAATTACAGGGCATATGGTCTTAACATGACACCACCCGGTAAACGTTTTACTACGAAAAAGAAATCCAGGTTAATTTATACATTGGCAATTTTCAATGGCCGATTCAACCGGCCCAAACGTAACTTATACCCGCTTAAAACTCAGTCCATAGTGGTTAATTCCTTAAAAAAATATTACAAGAAAAGTGAACTGATGCTCAAGTTTCAGAAATCTGTATACACTAATCAAATGATCGTTTAGCCAAAACCAGCAGGTTTGCTAGCGGTCTCTAAAGCCCGGATCTTGGGCACTGTACGAAAAATTATTCCATTAATAATAAACATTCTCAATTTCTGGGTAATGGGTTTACCTGTAAACCTCGGAACGAGGCAGAAATACCTAAATCATTAAGTAAATAAATTAATCTCTAAAAAATCCTAGGGACGCAAATCTGGGAATACTCCCTAAAAAATCATTGTCACAATTAATGATTTTTGCCATATCCTGCAGGGTTTGCATCGCGATGTCTCTGAAAGCCTGGATCTTGGGGCACTGTACGTGAACTTTCATTGCACATATAAGTACAATAAAGCACCTCATTACTGGGAATGGTTGACCTGTACTCCTCGGAACGCAGGCGAGAAATATACATCAAATAAAAACTTAAAAATCCTAGAAAGGGGCCTATTCCAAATCTGCCAACGAAATCACTCCTACAAACAACGATTCGGAGCGCTGTACATCTCCAGAAAGCAGGCGCATGAGTACTCTAAGGGGGACACAATAAGTGTCAGGGGGCCCAAACTATTTAACTGCCTCCCCCATACAAAAGGATTAACCAATAGACCCTTGACTGTCTTTAAAAGGGGGAAATGAATAGGATCTAAATCAGCACCCGACCAGCTGGTTGTGGTTCTACACTGGTTGCAGCGCCAATAGAACAACCCTGATCCACCCCGGGCCTGGTCCCTGGACCGGGCGCGAGGCGTTGACTCCCGGAACATCCTCCAGGCCCTATATGACCACACTCCTTGTATTTATGTCACTGTCATCTCTATACTTCTAGCCTAGCCTTCATCTAGCAGTAACACCAGAACTGCCAGAGATACTTATAGCGTAGCCTTAGTACTATGGCAGTAACAACAGTACTGCCAGAGATAATTTATAGCCTAGCGTTAATCTAGCAGTAAAAACATAACTTCAAAACTAGATTCAGTTTTGCCCTATGGTTTTAAGTGGAGTAGACACGTCAGTCATTCAGTACAAGGAGTGATGGAGGGTCGATCCTCCGTCTGCCAATCGCACCCTGGTCTCTTAACACTCAGGCTGTTGCCTGCTTATCCCTGTAGGGTTCATACTAAAGATACCAAACCAAATGTACACAATACCACCAGGTTGGGGTCTGGAGGCTCTTGTTATAGTTCCCTCCGTTTGCAGCCTCATACTAATGAATCCCATTAGCTACACAACACAAAACCACCTAATTGGAGTCAGCATCCTGCTCACCAATGATGAATTGCAACGTTGCAATGGAAACCTCTAATTATTATGAGGGGAAATGTTGCAATCAGTTTGTCTATGAGTTTGTTGAAATAAGCAGTATTTTTAGTAGGAATATATCCAGGCAGTACATGACTCCGACGGGTTTAACGCTTTCCCTCTGATTGAAGTATAAATAAAATAGCAATACACTAAAGAAAATGACACCAATACAGTAACTAGATAAGTGTATGGGTGTGCATGTTAATATCCACGGGTATGGATATTAAAATACAATACGCAGACCAAGAATCATAATAGTGGTATACAATCCCAACAAGATGAGGTAATAAAGTTAAATTTAAGGAAGGGAAAGATAGCTTTAATTCTTGACTGAAACAGCTCTTGACCGGCATGAAGGCAGCCTCGCTGGATAATATGCAAGATTCATTGTGTGAGGAATAAGAAGCGATGCAGCAATAAACAACAATCAAGAAGCACGCACTTACTTACCAATAACAACATAACGAACTCGACCTTCATTAATAAACACTCTTAAAATAAATTACTGTACGATGCTTATGTTAGTGTGTGTCTAGTGACCATAATTATTTGGGTACGTTAATGTTTCCTAATACGAATTTATTTAATTTTGCTTAATGCTTATTAAACTTTATGATAACAGTTCATGTTTAATGAGGAATGAGGCTATTATCAAAGTATCTTTTTTTTCATTTAATGTGATGTGATCGGGGGCATATTAGGGTAAAATTGATTAAATTCTCAAGATTAAGTTTTTTCATTAGCTCAGAGTTCAAGTTGGGCGAAATCACCCTGTTCGTTTGTTCACTTATATTTGCCTGGTCACAGACCGGGCCGCGGGGGCGTTGACCCCCGGAACTCGGATTTTTAACCCCGGAGGGTTAGCCACCCAGGATAACCCAAGAAAGTCAGTGCGTCATCGAGGACTGTCTAACTTATTTCCATTGGGGTCCTTAATCTTGTCCCCCAGGATGCGACCCACACCAGTCGACTAACACCCAGGTACCTATTTGCTGCTAGGTGAACAGGACAACAGGTGTAAGGAAACGTGTCGAATGTTTCCACCCGCCGGGAATCGAACCCGGGCCCTCCGTGTGTGAAGCGGGAGCTTTAGCCACCAGGCCACAGGGCCACAATTAACTTACCGTCCTGCTTTCCTGCCTGCCTTCCTGCTTACGTTCCTGCCTTCTTGCCTACCTACCTTCCTGCTTGCCTGCCTTCCCGCCTTCGTATTATATCGCGAAATCTATTTCTGGCAGCCAGTCTGTATTGGCTGCATTTGTTTGCACAAAACTGCTGAAGATATCCAGGAGTAAGCAAGTGCTCAATCTTTGAACGACAAGACTTGCCGACAAGGTATAGAAAAGACAATATGTAGAGAGCAAAGCTCTTAGAGCTTTACTGATAAAAAAAACCGTTCAGAACAAAGTTTTAATTAGATCATAACTGACTTCATAAAACTTTCTTAACTTGATTAGAGCTTTACTGACTTCATAAAATTTGGAGTAAACATAGTAATGTACTCAGTGTATTCAACCTTGACGTTGAAATAAACTTGAAGCTCGATCCTCTGAGGAAACTGAATTTATTCACAACACGTCTGACCATCACACATTTTAAACTCTGCCTACATTAAATGAAATTCGGAGAAAAATGGACATACATAATAACATTAATAGTGGACGATAGCGGTTAGATCACTGCGCAGGGGATAATTTTGTGTGTGAGCCTTATATTCATCCCGCCGATAGAAAAACATCAACAAATCAAACGGCATGATAAAATTAAAAAAAAAAATATATCTAAATAAGCACTCATCAGCTGACTTCAGCATCTCTCAGTCAGTGGGAATCAAATATCAATACAACAGTCACACTTACATCCCACATTTCAGGTACGAAGGTAAATACAACTGCTACCAGACCTACAAACTTTATTGCCAAATGAATGTGCTCAACTTGATTGGAGTTACATACCTGGATCAGGTGGCTCCGTCCACTCCAGTGAGGTGCTTGTACCATTTATAAATCAGACCTTTCTCTCGTGTAACTGTCTGTCGAAGAGGGGCTTCGCTCTTCATTTTAACCGGGTCAGCATCTGAAGAAGACCCGGGCCGGGACAACGCCGGCGAACCTACTACTACTACCACCTCTTTATTATATATATATATAAATTTCACTTTTCACAGTGAGAGGTCTGCATATTGTGACATCACTTGATTACTGTGATCTTATTGCACATAGCATAATAAAATATATATATAATATATATATATATATATATAATATATATATATATATAATTTTATATTTATATATATATACTATAAAATATAAAATATACCTATATATATATATATATTATATATATATATATATATATATATTAAAATACAATAGGTAAGTAGGTTGTTTGACAGAAACCACCAGGGAAGTTACTACCGTCCCGCAAGATGAAATGTGAAACAGAAACCTGTAACTGTTTTTGGCATGATGGT